CCCACTCCACCCCCCCCCCGTGGCCCCCCCCCTGCCACATCCAGCTCGCTCAGCGCACAGAGAATGCCCAGCCGTTTAGTTTGCCTGCTAAAGCAAACCAGCGGCCGCGGCAGGCGCGTGCGAGGGCTCGGTCTGGAAATTGTGCTTCAGCCTAAAATACATCCATGGTATGTGAAGAACAGTTTACTTTGTTCAGACTTTTTTACAATTACAATGTTCAAGAAAGGCTTTTCATATACAAAAAAGCAAGGTGTTTTCACTTCTCTTTCCAAATCATTCTTCCTTCCATGGTTACATGTGAACTACGGTGTGCGTTACTTTTTTATTATTTTTTTTTTAAAAAAAAAAAGGTAAAGACATACACATTGCAGAAGAAGGAGCAGAGAACTGTGAAGGCTGGAAGAACCAAGCAAATACTCGGCTCATCTTTAAAACTTCAACCTCTCTTTAGTTAAAAGCTGGTATTTATTTTGAAGCACGTACTTACTCTGCAACTTCTATACCAGCAGCCTTTTAAGCAGTCTCTGTCCTCAAACACTGTCCATACTTGGAACAGTTCTTCCCCAAGGTGTTTTTGTTGTTGTTGTTGTATAAAGCTCTTATTATAACCACAAGCACAACGAAACACCACCTCAGTATCTCTCTCATCCAACATAGCTCTTTCCACTGTATCTCTCAGTGCAGTCAAGCACAGTAATAGCATAAGCTGAAAGCACTAAGAGAGAAAAGATTCCCTTCCACTGCCTCTACCCAAACAGTTCAGTTTTTTCTACAAATAGACAAGTGATTCTTGAATTTGTGTCCCGCTGTACCAATCAGATCAATCGCTGAAATATATCCCATGGAGCAAGAGACAGCAGAGTCTGACAAAAATCAGATACATTTGCATCTATAAAGTGCATCATATTATTGCATGGTTTAAACAGCAGTACCTATACCTTGACTGGACTCCAACTTTAGAACTCAAATACTAGTGAACTTTAAATCTGCAGGGGGAAGGCTTCATCTAGGTCCCTAACCAACCTCAGGTAACCCTGCAAAAGCTCTCAAATAGAAGGCATGTCTAAAGAGGGAAAAAAAAAAAAGTAATTACAAAAGCATCTTTATTTACATAGGGTTTTTTTCCTTTTCCTTAAATATTCACAAAGTCAAAACTCCTTTCACATCTGTAACATATGTCACAAACCAGAGGGTTTCATACTAATTGGCACATTTCTTGAGGATAAGGAGACAAAATACAAGGCTGCAGAACGAGTAGGTTTATGGTCTAAGCTGAAGATTATCTTGATTGAGAATATAAATCACTGCCTCTCTACCAGGATTAAACAAAAGCAAAAGAAACACCTACTGAGGTCTAGTTACTAAGTCTCTTCACTATCATTTGAAAAGAAATAGTCAGGTACAGGTGGTATGTAGGATTGTCTCATGTTTGCAAGTTCACTAGTTCACAATTCACATCCCTAAATCAAGTCCTCTGTATTACCAAGTATATGCAGGCAACAACTTCTCAAGAACTCAACTACTTAAATCCCAGACAAATCAGCTTCATCACCCCCTTGCACCATCTACACTTCAAAAACACAATCTGTGATAGGGAAAATCTTGAAGCTCTTCCCACTTAAGAACTTTTGTCCACAGTGTCCAAAGTGAGAAAGCAACTGAAAACTGCATCTAGTTTTTCCACTTCTAATCACACACGTTTTTTCTCTGCTAAATTGAATGGCTCCACGGCTTCACAGAAAATTTTGCATATAAACCTTTAAGAGCAGTAACTAGTGAGAAATTATAAAGCTTTCCTTTCCAAGTTTCTCCCTTCAATTACTGCTCAAAAATATAAAAGCAACAGCTCTCCTCCTCTCCTGAAAAACCCAAACGTATGCACACAAACAAAACCTTACCAGGAAACCAGTATTAAATCCTCCTCATTTTAGTATTAGTTCCAGTACCAGCATCATCATAAGCCCTATGCCCCCATCAGATAATTTCTTTTGTTCAACCCTACAGCAGTTGGAAGATGATGAAACTAAAAGGAACAAAAAAATTCTGGGAGGAATTTAAATGCAGTAATTGGGAGTTAAAATCTAATCTCTGCTAACTGCCTGCTGTGAAAAGCAACCATAAATATTTGCAACTATTTCTCTCCAAACCAGAAAGCGATCCCAGCACATAGGTAGAGCATCTGAGAGTGAAGCCCTCGGGTACAAAACACATCGAACATGCTCATTACTGAAACTTCAAAAGCAAACAATCATTTCCCATAAAAGGTTAGGATGGTCAACAACCACCCAATATTTAACTACCAACCCCAATTATCACCAAATAAAACTATATAAACTAAACCACACAACTGTAACAGAGTCAAAGGCAGAAGCACACAACATTGGTTCATGCTGATAAAAAAAATTCGACAGGGTTTGTTCCCTGCTGGGGTCTCAAATGCCACCTTTGGGCTTCACTGCTAGCATGATGCTCCTGCAAAGTCTGAAAAGGTAGAAACATCTCTGGACTTTTTAATGAACTAATACATTTCAGAAAGAAGAAAACCTATACAAAACAATAAAGAAAGCCTATAGGGTAAGAAAAGGGGATGGAGTAAGGTCGGCTTGTTCCTGCAACAAGAAGGAAGAAAAGGGATCTGGATCAGACCCTTTCTTTGTACTACAGCTCTGAACATCTACTGCTGTTTGAGATGACTTGAAGAGGGAAGCAGAGATGAACCTGCAGCACTACCTCTCAAGAGAGGTCCACGAGCATGCAACTTGGTGTGCTCAATGACTAACAGTGCTCCCTGCAAGTCAGCAATACATTGTTCCCCATCACAGGTAGCCTTGGCTTCAACTGAGGACAAAATCTGGTGGTCTTCTTAAGAAAATGAAAACCAAACTTGACTCCTAGGTCGCTATGTGCCTAACAAGCAAAATGACACAGCCTCAGATAACAAATCTTAGCATCAGTTCCATTTTCACTGGTTAAAGACACAACAGTGCAAGGACAAGCACTGTCTGAGACAAAATGAACAACCTATGTAGTAGTATTTAATGGTAAATTAGACTTGCCACCAACATCATCCTTTAAACTTCTTCTATGCAAGACAATTAGTGGTTCCTTCAGGCACCTCAATGAAGAACTAAGTCAGGCAAAATACTCACAAAGAGCTTTTAACAGCTGGACCTAAAGCTACAAAACCTCAGAACATTACTTACAGGTCACATGAGCATATGAGAACATCAACAATTTGGAGGAAAAGACTTACGATTGTAAAGATGACTGTACACATGTTGACTCCTGATTTTCACTTGTGAGGTATACAATAAGCTGGTACCCGGAAGGTAAATCAAAACACACAGCAAAGCTGCAGGTAAGTGAACTGAAGCTGTACTGCAGAAACTACTTACAATGACGTCTATATCACAGAAGCTAAATTGCTAGCATCTGTTCCACTTAAAATGTTCCAGCTCTAGCTCATTTGAAATTAACTTTCACTTTTCCTAAAGACAGTTTCTGTATTGCTAATTTTTCATTACCTTACATCACTGCCCTCCCCAAATTTAAACATGTAGCAACAGAAGGAGGCATTAAAATTTTAAGTCTTGTCAAAATACATTTCAATCTGATTTTTTTCTATAGCATTTTGGGATGTACAGAGCAACACTAAATTTTTCAGAGACACATCTATTAGTCATCGTGGCCTGCCTCATACAATTTGACGCACAAAGTGCTGAAACCAGGTAGAATACATCTCAGTCCACTACAGAGACCTGAGATTGATTGATAGAAGCTCTGATTTTATACTGCAGATATCCTCTAAAGTCCTCTGCAGAAAAGTGAATTTCCACTCTTTGTCTGCAAACCAATAAAGAATGTTCTTCTGTTACTGTCTGCTGCTTAATTTCTATATTACAAATCATTCTCACCTTCAAGCTCTGAATTTCCAAGTTTTATAAAAGGTCTACCTCGCTAATATACAGCCAGGAAAGAGTTCTCTTGAATAAAACTTTACTATCATTCTGTTAATTCTGTAGTAATAAAAATGTCTTTTTTTAAGCAGCAGGAGTTCTGTTCAGGGGAAAGTATAAAAACTATCTTTCAAATTTAAAGTACTGTAAGATTGCCAGCAGTGCCAAAAAACAATTAGTACTGTGTGTAATTAAACAAAACTCAAAAGATGGAGGCAAAAAGATTTGATCTACATGGTGAATCGTTTTGAGACCTCTACTGCGGAAGAGCCTGCACAGTTTGATCTGAAATTGGACTAACAAAAAAAGAGAAATTACGCCATTCAGTGGCCATGAATTTTAGAACCGATTCCCTGATACTTATCAAGGCTGTTTTTCAATAACGAGACTCTCTCACTATACATATATATACGGTCAGTGTTGTGTTCTGAGAAACATAAAGACCATTCTATCAAATATGAGATCACAAATTCTAAAAGCAGAATTTTATGAGGGACTGCCTGAATTTAGCAAGCTGAAGCTCTCTATCATAATCATTATGACAGTTGTACAATGAAGATGAAGTTTATTTGCCACCAACATTAGCAGGACAAATTTATTTATAACAAATGCTTTAAAATGTACTGATAAAAATGCCTATTGATACTGTCAGAGCTGCTTGCAATTTGACAGATCAAATCTTATTTTCATTCTTAAACCCCATGAAGGAATGGTATCACCAACTTGCATTCTGTAGTGAGCAAATTGATTAATCCCCCTCTATAGAAATCTCAACTCTTGATTACACCTATCAGACGTTAAGCAGCATTATTCTAGAGTGACAACACTTGACAAATTCCCAAACCATTTTTCTCAGCCTTTGTGGCCCTGCTAGCTTGTATTAACCCTGATGAAAAATTAATTTTCCTTATCTTCTGCTAAACCCCAAAATCCAAATCCGCCAAACTGGCAACTCTTTC